TTTGACATTGTTCATCAAAGTCACATTTAAATGATTCCTTTGAACAAAAATTAATTAAATATTTAAATTAAATAAGATAAATCAATATTAAAACAAACTTGTCCAAGTTCAGCATTTCGTTTGAAAAACATTTTACATGAAATACATGAAAGAACACCGAAATATGAGTAACGAGCTGAACAACCACAGATTTTACATTCAGATTCAATTGACTTTGTCCTTTTTTTAAAGAATTTCGAAGATAATTCAAGTGTTGGATCAGTCGATAAGTTCTCCATTAATTTATCATTCATAGTCAAATTCAATAATTGCTTTATATTCTAAAGAAAAAATAAATATCATAACGTAAATAGAATAGAAAGAAATTGAGTTCAAATCATCTTTATCAATAAGAAAAGCAAATATAGAAGCTTTTTAAAAAAACACATTAATTTATCCGTTTAGATAAGACTAGATCATTAGGTTCATAATTAGCTATTCCAGAATGTGTATTAAAAAAACATTTATTCTTTTAACTTCTTCTTAATCGTTTGAACCTGAAGAGAGAACATTCTTTCGTTTCTGTTATATTTGGAAGAACGAAAAAATGTAGTTTTAACCTACTGTTTTCTCTTGTTGCTTGACACTTTTTCTTTTTTTTCTTTTACATATTTCTCTTACAGTTAAGATAAAATAGTTCGAGATGAAATCATATACTATTCTCGATAGATGTTCCTTATCATTGATTTGATATTATCAAGTTTTCGTTGACGAATCTTTGAATATTCTACTACTTGTTTTTCTTCTTATTCATTATTCGACATTTAAAAGGGCAAATGAATATCTGAATAAAGAATATAAAAATAGATTCTTTCGATAGAACTCAACTATCATCAGATTATTTATCGTATTTTCATCTACAGACTGCCCGAACAGTCATATTGAACAATAATATAATTCGATATGTTCATTATCGTTTTATAAGATGAACTAATTTTTATACTTGTCTTAGAAAATACTTATTAATTTTTATTCCAAAATATAATATTCTCAAATATTTCAACAAAGTAGTAAATTCACATTCTTGTTTAACATTTTAAAACAAACTATACAGATTAATCTCAAGTCTAGTCTTAAGAAAAATTCTAAAACCGCACACTCACTTTTTCATATGCATGAATGAAAGATCAAAATAAGCAAACAATATATAGAATATTTATTGAAAAAGTCTAAACATATTGTTTTTTTTTTGTGCTTTCAAAGAAAAAGAATTTAATTATCTATTGAAATTGAATAGATTATATTTCAGAATAAAAGCTTGTAGGGTATTGTTTATCGATAGTATTAAAATCAATTCATTCAATAGAACAATAATAAACATAACGAATTATCTTTTTAATAATGCCAATGGACTTTATTAACACTATATTAACTTTGAACAAATGTTTTTATTTTCAAGATTCATTCTTTCGTCAATAATTTATGACAACTTAGATTAATTCGAATAATCGATATTCATCTAATAATAAGTCAAATTAAATAAAAACAAAATTGATCAGACAATATTGTTTCATTGTTTGGCAAATAATATTAAAGAATTAAAAACAAAAGTATTTTAAAGATCAATCGAATGAGTAAACATAACAAAATAATAACAGATTAAACAATGATAACTACTCATAAAAGAAATCTTTCGCAATAATCGATTCAAATAACCAATAGATATACATATCGAATTTAATAATTTGTTTTATTATTTAATCATTCGAATAAACAAAAAACAAATTATTTGAATCAATCATTATTACGTATACTATATATAGACCGGTCCTAGTCAATATATAATTTGAATAATAATCCTATAGGATTTTGTATTTCCAATATATCATGAAGTATTATTGATTGTAAGTCAATACGTCTTTCAGTATTATTGCTCAATATTACAAATCAATCGATAAAGATAATACTTCATGATTTCTGTGCCTCGTTTATGGATCTGCTAATTGATTAATCTCATTTCTATTGCTGAGTTAAAGCCATATCAAGACTACATAATTGATATAAAGCCTGATTAACCGAAAATAATAGTGTAATTATAAGGTTTCAAGAAAGTGATAAATGTTGCAACTTATCTATCCATCGTTGATGAGTCATTGTTTTACATTAAACTCTATGATGACATTCGCTGTTGCAGCTTGAACGCAATCTATGCAATAAATCGTGTCCCAAACATTTGTTGGCTCAATATTCAACAGAACCAAACTAAAATTCAGAAAAATTTTTGTTTATACTTAGATTAATCTTGTATATATTTATAGTCTACTCATATGATTCAAACCGAAAAAAATCGCTAATCAACCTTATATATATTGTTCAGTATTATGTGTGGTATACCGGTAGTATTTGCCGGTATTGACAATAAATTGACAATAATTCGATACTGAAACTGTTGTTTATCCTCTCACAAGCATTCTACTGCGTTGTACCGATAATTATTCTTTGATCGGCAATATACTACCAACCACCATACTGTCGAATCGTATGAGTACTGCTGTATACCGGTAGCCGTAAGAACAAATGTGCGACATGAGTACTCATTTAAATTTTTCATATCTCTTAATGAAAGTGTCTTCTATCCAGGCCCCGCGCGAGGGACCCAAGATTGGGGGGGTGTGACGAGATTTCAAGGCAGTCAAGACTGAGGGAAGCAAAATTTTTTTCGCATCAGATCCGATGTTAATCTTTTTTTGCGGACCTAAAATGTAATCATTTTTCGCGAAGCGACAACTTTTTGCAACCTCCTTAAAAAATTCGATTTTTTCTCGCAAATTTTGAAGAAGAGAACTCGAGTCCAATATGAGAAAATTTCTCGATACTGCCGTTATCGAAAGCGACCACTTTGGTGCAAATTGCTCTATATCAAGCTGTTTCAAAGGAAAAGTTGACTAAAGTATTATCCGATCCAAAATGAAAGGCAGGTTACCATTTTTCGCATAACTATTGATACGAACGAGATAGTGAGCTGCGGTTTTCACCATTCGAAAGAGCGATGTCCGAGCCATTGATCGGTATAGAACTGATTAAAACGAAAGATATTTTTTTTTATGTGCACCTTTGGATCAACACTTTTCCTTTGAGTATTTTCATCAATTTTTAGAATAATCTCAACTGTAATTATGTCAAAATGTAGCTCAAATCATCCTCTTTTTGCTATAAAATTAACATTTGTTTTTTTTAAATCCGCTTAGAATAAGCGATTGAGAGATAATAAAATATGTGATAATTTTATAGCGAAAAGAGGGTGATTAGAGCTACATTTTGACATAATTTGAGCTGAGATTATCGTGAAAATTGATGAAAATACTCAAAAGAAAAAATGTTGATCCAAAGGTACCTATAAAAAAAAGCATCTTCCGTCTTAATGAGTTCTATACCGATCGATGGCCCAGACATCCCTCTTTCGAATTGTGAAAACCGCACCTCTCTATCTCGTTCCTATCAAAAGTTATTCGAAAAATGGTAACCTGCCTTTTATTTTGAATCGGACAATAGGAAGTTTGTCTAAGTTAACTGCGGTTACACAATTGTTATTTTTCGCGAAGCGAAAACATTTTTCAGACTCACGAAAAACTCTTTTTTCCTTATGTTGTTCGAAAGCAAAAAGTGTTGCGATAACTCTTAGAGATTTCGCCGCCGAAGGCGGCCATGCTAGTGATGACTGTTGGAAAATAAAGCTCTTCAAAAAGAAGACAAGTAAAATTGCATTAAAAACAAAAAAATCACAGATATTTCTAGGTCGAATACGCTCCCGTGGTCATGTTTTCGCGAAGCGAAAAATTTAAACATCCCTTCAGAAATTTCTAGCAAAAAATTTCAAAAAGATTTATGGATTTTGTTGGCTACGAATGAGTAATTATTAATTATTGGGGGGGTGCACACCCCCCTACACCCCCCCACTTTCGCGGGGCCTGCTTCTATCTAAAATTCGGTTTTTTTCGAAAATACGAGACGATTCAAGATTAGTGGCATAAGCAGACGAGAGTCAGAGGTAGCTAAGCCCCTAGAAGTCTTTGAGCTCTCCTCCCCATACACACGATAGAGTTTTGCTTCTAAAAACATTACCAAAGAGTCTCCCGCCGACTCACGAGGAAACCTCTCCAGGTGTAAAATCGCTTTTCGCTCGAGACTATTGCCGTTAGATAGGCCTTAGCGAGTAGTGAAAAAGTCCATAAGGGTTTCGGTGCACGGCCTTCTCTTGTTGAGTTATGAGTGTTTTACTCAATTTTTGGTCTATGGGCATGGCATTTTCGAAAAAACTCAATGGTCGAATTTCGAGCTGAAATGTTGTCCATAGATAGGTATTATGGTCACTAGAAAGTCCTCAATGGTTGAGTCAAAATGAACTCATCCTTACCGAACTATTCATATTTTAAAGAAACACCTGTTTGGGACTGCGTTTCAAAATAGGGACATTTTCATGACAAGCTGATATCTCGGCAAGGATGAGGTCGTTGTGGCTCAAACTGTGGAGGCTTTCTAGTGACCATGATACTTATCTATGGACAAAATTTCAGCTCGAAATTCGCTCATTGAGTTTTTTCGGAAATGCTATGCTCATAGACCAAAAATTGGGTAAAACACTCATAACTCGAGAATAGAAGGCCATGCACCGAAATCCTTATGGACTTTTTCACTACTCACTAAGATCTATCTAATGGCAATAGTCTCGAGCGAAAAGAGATTTTATACCTGAAGAGGTTTCCTCGTCAGCAACCGTTTGTCTAGTCACGTCACTATCAAGTATGTGACATATATATTTTGTTTCTTATAGTTGATTATTGTGCTTTGAATATACTACAATGAACAATGACAAGAAAAATCATCAAAATTCTGTTGGTTATAAAAATCATGAATCGACATCTATAAATTATGAAACGCAAAAACAAGCAGTTAGTTGATTATTTCTTATGCTCTTCGATCGTCTTGTGTATAGGCCAATGCGCTCGTTGACATTTGGCATCTCAATAATTAGCCTTTCGACATGGACAACTTTTCGGTGGATTTGGTTTTTTACATTGATCGCACACTTGGATATGTTCTTTAGACTCGGCTGGTGATGTAGGCGATAATTGTAAACCAGTGAATGGAGTTGTTAACAACAGACCTTGTTTTTCAAACCAAATCTGCATCATATTTTTCATTTGGCAAGTTATATCAACTGGTTGATGGCACGGAAGACGTACGCTTGGATCATCAGTTTCTTGCAATTTGAGCCAATGATGATATGTGAGTTCTGGTTCATTACGTGACATATAGATGAATGCAAGAGCAAAGTGTGCCATAGGCACTTTTCGATGATCAACTGGATTGAGCTCCAGAAAACGATTGTATGTAGCAATTATCTTATTGGTAATATCGATCGATGTCTTCGACATTATTTCACTGCTAGTTTGATCAGCTGTACTACGAGGACGAAAGCCTTTTCTTGGTATCATTCTATTCGAATTTCGACTATCATACAAAAATGTCATGGCATCTGCTTGTGTATATAACCAACCGGGATGAAACTCAAGTTCAAGTGCTCGTGCACACGCTCGTTCAGCTTTATCATATTCATTAATAAACATATACATATCCGCTAACAAATGATGAATATCAGCAGCAAGTGGATTGTGTTTAATACATTCTTCAAGAAGTCTTACACGTTCTTTGAAACTTCGATGTTCTATACGAGCAATGAGATGCAGAGCATCAGCATCGTAAGGATTAACTCCCAAATGCGTTTGAGCGATTACAGAAAAAGACATTGGAATTGGTAAGCGTTCACAGAGTATGTAAGCATTTCGCAAGAGAGATAAAGCTGTGACAGGCGAGTTTTCTTCTTCATCTAACGCTTCCATCAACATCACAATCGCCACCTGATATAGTTGAGCAGTAATCGAGCCAGCATTTGCACGCCGTCCAACTTCTTCAAACACTTCCTTATTAGATAAGGAATATTCATTTGGAATTAAAATTGTAGTCTCGTCAATAGGTTCCGATAATGATGCGACATTAGGTATTTGTTGTATGTTTGATGGTAACAGCTGATTTAACAGTCGAACTATACGTTCCTCGATTGTTATTCCCTCGCTAGATAACTCTGGATGCTTTTGTTCAAAGTTATATACAGCTTTCGCTATTGTTAATTCTTGATCAATGTTGATCTCTTTTCCCATCGTACTTTTTTCAGAACTCGCATTATACTTAATACCTTGTCGTTTGCCTCGTATCAACCAACGATGTGCTTCATCCAAATTTCGTTGACATCCATGTCCATAAGCGAAGAGTTTGCCGAGACGCCATTGTGCCAAAGCATGACCTTTTTCTGCTGCTCGCTTCATTGAATCAAATCCGTCAGCATTTCGTTTGAAATGATCGAGTAAAATCTCAGCTAATGCAAATTCAGCTTCTATATTACCACAATCAACAGCTCGACGATAATATTCTTCAGCTAGATTCATATTTTTATGAAAACCACCTTCTCCTCGTGCATAATTCGATGCGAGTAACATGAGTGCATGAGGATTGTTCTCTACTATATTTTCATGTACAACAGGTTCGAACGAAATACCTCTACGAGATTGTACCTCTTGGATCTTCTTCAATGCATCTGGATAACCTTGATCAGCAGCTTGACGATAAAACTTCAATGCTTGTGAAATATCAGTAGGACCTCCAATACCATCAGCCAGAAGATCGGCGTAATTGACTTGAGCTTCAGCAATACCACATTGTGCTGCTCTTGAAAACCAACTTCGAGCCCATTCTTCGTTTTTTTTTATGCCTAAGCCGTTCAAGAGTGCAACAGCAAAATTATTCTGTCCTTCAGGACATCCATGTTCAGCTGATCGGCGAAAATATTCAGTAGCTTTTATTTGATCGATGTCAACACCGGCTCCATCTCGATAGAGAATACCCAAACTATTTTCAGCTTCAGCTACGCCTATATTTCGAAGGATCATATCACCTAATCGACAGTAAGGTTTTTGAGCTGCTGCTTTTTCCTAGTAGTACATAAGAAGAATCTTTGAAAAGAGGATTATGAAATTACAAAGAACAAATGAAATATTTTGGTTTTTCAAAATTTATTCTCATCTCTTTTTAGTATCTGATCGATTTTAATCAATCAACGCTATAGTCACTGAGAAACTAGAAACTTTTGAGTTACTTCAATAGAAAAATGCCTGAAAATAAAATATTCATTAGATAAAGAACTCGTTCTTGGTATTTTCAATCCTTGTTAGAAAACCCTTTGCAAAATATCTTTAATTAATTCTTGACATATTCGAAATAATATCTTACTTGATAAAATTTCCATCTAGCATAATCTCGTACGACACCAGCATATCCGCCTTTGCCATAAATTACACCCAAATTATAATAACCTTCTGCACTACCTAGACGAGCTGTCTCTTCGTATAGTTGGAGAATACGTTGTTCATTCTCAGCTTTGTCCGTTCTAAAAAGACGTTTAATTTCAATCATTAAATTATTTACTTTTAAACAAGTCGGAAAATCCGTAATATCTATAACATCTTCATTGCATGGCGTTGGTGTGATTATGAGAGCTTTCATTTGAGATAAAAAGTCATCACGTGATTTTGGCTCAGGTTGAATAGAACGCGGATTATGTACATCGGTATACAATGTCATTAAGTGTGCACGACAATCACGTTGTCGTGAAAGAAGAACAGAATCACGAGGTTCGATTTTCAACCCATCGGTACATGCACCATCTGCTTCGGAAAATAATTCTAATGCCATTAGGACTTCGGACAAAATTCTATAGTATTTAACTTGTGTTGAGTCCAACTCAATTGCATCTTCAACATCTTCTCGAGCCAGTTCATATTTAGCCAAATTAATTTCACATAAAGCTCGATTGACATACAATACTGGCTGTTTCTGATTCAAACGCAATGCTTGAGTGTAATAATTCATGGCTTCTGTCCATTGTTTTCGTTTGAAACACGCATTACCATTCTCTTTCAATTCTTCCCAAGCATCTAACGTCAACGAAACAGTTGTCTTCGCACGAATATCTCGAGCTGCATCAGGTTTATCAATAGTCGTAGCCAATTTAGCAAGTGTTTCTAGAGCATGTTCATATTTATCAATGTCAAAGTTCTGATGAGAGACAGCATTACGAATATCTATAGCTCGTCTAGTCAAGGCACGCATTTGTGTTGGACATCCTCCTTTTCGATGCAGAAGTAAGTCATTCCAATGATCTCGAGCTATGAATTTTGCAAGACCTGAAAAATCTGCGTTATTGACTTCATCTCGAAGAACGCGTTGATCTTGAGAAGATTTTCTAGATTGATTTATAACTAGAAGAAGATAAGTCGATAAATGTTCATGAAGAATTTCGATAGATTCTTGAAGACGACCAGCTGCTTGTGCACGACTGATTTGATTAGTTGTCATGTCGGGTAGTAGTAGTTAACCAATAAAAAATGTTCAATTGTAAATGTTTTGATACTAGAAACAAAAAAGAGAATCCAATACAGTATCTATGTTGGGATTAAACCGCATGATGTTTCACCTATACGCTACAGAGAAAAAAAAACGAATAGAATACTGTTATCATAATAGATAATAGCAAAAATATCTTCCGAAATGAAACGTTGCTCGTATTGGGTGACCTCTTTTTCCAAAATTGAAATTGATGTGTCAATGAAATATTCAATGACATAGATTTATTTACATTAATTACATTTTCTTTCAATTCTGATATTTAACTTTATATATGACGTTGCGTAATGATATGTGTTTAAAATATATGATCTTCCTTATTCTAATCTATAACTTCTATTCTATAAAAGTATTTGAAAAGAATTCTCAAATGTCTTAGAATTCATTAAAGTCTTAATAAAATTCGATTAAGCTGTTTCATTGATGAAAGAACAAATAATTGGTTCAGTAAACAGCTGATATTTCAAATAAAAAATCTCGATATTAATTAGCAAACGTTAACACTATGGCAGATTTTTTGAAAAAGACTGTTCAACGTATAAATTAAATAATTATATTGTGAAAACGAGAAAATCTATATGCTTTTTTTTCTTAATAAATCTGATCAAACCAAAACGATCCTAAACTGTTACATACATCATATAGACAACCATATATCAGATGTAGATGGTTGTTTATTCATTAATCTTCTCACTCTTGTGTATATGGCCATGTCATAAATAATTTACTAATAATATTTCCCATAGGTTTACAATAATCTTTGGAAAGAGAAATTGTGCAAAGGTTTTGATAAGATTTTATTAGGTAACTTTGGAGTCTTTCAAAAAAACATTCTCCTTATATAAAATTAGTTTTGTTCACAGTCGTCAGAAAAATATACAATGAAAATAGTTTCAAAATTCGAAGAAATTATCTGGTTAATAAAAGAATATGAAAATTGAACGAAAGTCATTTAGAGAAAAATTTGACCAAATCGAATCAGTATGAAAAATATTTCTGTGAAACTTCGTCAGCAAAAAAACTTATCTTATTTGAATATGAGTAAATCATTAATATCAATAGGATTAACATAATTATTAACGGAGAGACATTTTCTTGAGAATAAAACTAAAAAAACTTGTGTAAGTTTCTACAATAATATATTCGCGTCCACACTAAAATCTTGATTTGTCAAAATTAAATGAAGGTGTTTTTTGGATATGACGATGACGATGATGATGATGTAAGTAGACTTCGAGCAGAGGAATATTTTTTGTAAAACGAGATATTTTTTTTGTTGTTTCCTTTACTACATACTCAAGGTAAATATTTATGCAATAATAAATGTAGAAGATAAAAAAATAACTGTCAACAGAAGAACATAGCCTCTTACAATGCTGGATCATAAAAAACAAGAGTTATCACGGCTGACATTATAAATAAAGATAATTATATAGAAAAAATTTGACACGAAAATAACCATCAACATCATGCAAATCAAAGAAATATTGGCTTCATTGTTTTCCTTTTGGTATAGACTGATTTAATAATCCAATAAGTTATTTTGCTTAGCTTTTATTGCTTTTTTCTCGTTCTATTTCGTTCAGCTGGATTTTGAAGAGTTCGTAAAAACCCGTGCCGGTAGAAAGAACATCATTGAAGCATTATTATAAGATGATACAAATTTTATTGAACAAAATCGAATTAAAATATACTAGATTATTTTCTCGACTGAAGCAAGGGTCATATGAAATAAAATAAGTTTTCTTGCTTGTATGTTTGTATGCACGTGTTTAGTCACATGTTCCCATGCATTTTCAGAAACTAGGAATGTTTTATAAAGTTTGACTGCAGGTAATCAAGGTCGGGGGATCCGAACTTGCAATCGGTTTCTTAAAATTTTAAGTTGAAGTTTTTCGGTGAAGGAAAAGATTGTTTTGAGAAAACAACGATACTGTATAAAGATTGATGAAAGTAAATCAGGGTCGATGAATCCGAGGCTGTAATCTAATTTCTGAAATTTTCAGTTTAATTTTTTCGGTCAGAGAAAAGTTTTTTTGAAGAAATAATGATATTTTATAAGGCCTAACAGAAGGCAATGCAAGTTGAAGAATGCATATCTGCAGTCAAATTTTCAAAATCTTGGAGTCAATATTTCGTGGTAAGGAATGGCTTTCGAGATAAAATAACGATATTTCATAAAAGGTGACGCAAATATGGGTGTGAGTGTAGGCGTGGCTATAATACTGGTTCTTGCACTTACACGCACACCAATCTAGTCTTTTTAAATATAGAACCATATTAATGATAACCCAATAAGTTTGGGCAAGGAGCTGAAGTCTGACTTGCCTAGTTTTTGCATAATTGTAAATGCTATTTTTGGGAAAATAGATTTAAGGACTTGAGCGGCCAACCGAGTGTGGCGTCCCATAGGAGCGCCGATGTATCGACAGAAACATCTGATTTCGGTGAAACAGAGACAACTTCAAGACAGACGCAATTCGAGTTTGATTCTAGAATCGATTTTTTCTTTTTGTCGAAAACTCGATTATTTCACATAGTCGATACTCGTGCTTCGCATCTTATTTCACATTCTCGACGAAGTCGAGATGCCATCTAGTTTCAGTTATAATAAGAAGATTTTGCACATATCTTCGAAATGAAAACGACACTATGTTCTTGATGACAAAGAGTTGACGCTAATTGCTCAACATTTACTACAAACAGAACTCGATAAATTATATGCAGACAATAAACATGTTCTCAACTACACAGAGATGAATAGTGACCTTCTTACTCAAAGTTCACCAATCAATAGTTGAATTATTATCTCTGGTCTTCTACGTGCAAATAATACATCGCTCTACAATTGACTTTCTTGTGATTTCGACTGGCAAGTTTCATTTGTTAATTGATACGCGTGTCACTTCATTTTCATCTATCTAATGTTCGAATGCAGTCGAACAGGAACAGCCAGCCATGTCAGTACGATTTTCTAAGAAGCTCTGCGATAAGGTAGCAGTCAAGTCATTGTTACTGTCGTGTTCCATCGGATATTTGTTATTGAAGAAGTTTCTCTTATTATTAAACAAGTGTCCATCAACATTCTGTCGAAGATCAGACTGAACTGAATAAATCGATCTACAAATCGACAAATAAAAATTTTGTCTATTATTTTGACGAGAAATTTTTCTGCATGTTAAACTTTGTCAATGTATCTTGTTTTCGTGAGCTTATTAAATTGTCTGATCATGTTATATATATCGACATATTATGGTCACTATCGTCAAGTTATATTTATTATGCAGTGGCGTAGCCAGGAATTTTTGAGTCATGGGCATTTCATCAGCCGAACTGTTTTGACTTACGGGCAGCTAAGGGCAACCGTTATGATTTCAAAAATATCTATGGGTAATAACTGTTCAAGCACTGCATAGCTCAATAAATCCATGCGCAATAACTTTTGTAGCTATGGGCAATTGCCCAATGGCCCTATCCCTGGCTACGCCACTGTCATCATGATTAATTCATCAACGTCTTAACAAGTTTTTCCATCGTTTGGTAGTTTGATTCATATATTTGTTACAATACAATTTATCATTATCATAAATCCGTAGAACATTTTTCAAAAAAATTCTTCAATATTATTGCGCATGATTATTATTTATTTAAATCTGAAATTCTTTCTTCAACTATTGATAAAATTAGAAAATTTCTTTGAATTGAATTAATGATGATTTATTCATTCTAAATTAACCTCACTGAATTAATCATAATTAAAAGTAAACAAACATTGAAAATATTCTATAAATTAAATATCAATGTCTAAAAGAAAAATCATTTTATAATAATTATTATTTAAGATAATATTTACTTATTAATTTGATTATAAAACATAAATAAAGACATTGAAGACATATTTTATTTACGTTTCAAAGTCATATGAATGAAAGAAAATTCAAGGTAGAAGATCAACCATCATCATGTCAATTTTTTTGTTGTACAATGTCGTCGAAACAATATTTGATCGAACAGTTAAATGAGATTTGTAACATTGTTGTTGGAGAGAAAATGTTTCGTGATAAATGTCTTTCACTATATTTGATTGAATAATTGCAAAAGAATTGAAAGAATATTAACAAGAAAAACGAACAGACGAAATGGAACATAATAGAATTCTTTGAGTTGTGTTAACATCTTTTCATAATGACATCAAAATCAGCGAGAAGCAAACAAGTGCGATTGACAGACTGGCAATTATTTACCAACAATGGAAATTTTAATAATCCAGTACCTCCTAGTAGACGACTAAACAAGCGATATCCCTATTTTGTAGACGATATTGATGCCAACAGTGTACGTACACGTTGTAGAACAGCAAAAAGTCGAAGTGATTAGTTATTTGTTTATTATATTAAGTATACATATATTTGTATAAATTTAGATCAATCAGCAATAAGCACAAGTACAAGAAGAATATTAAGTGCACGATCTATCTATTATCGACGTGCACCACGAGTCAAACCGGTTTATCTCGATCTCAATGAAGAATGTGATGAAATTCATAGTAATTATTTATTTATTCATTTGTCAAATATTATTTAAAGAGATTGAAAATTAATTTGACAAAAAATAATCAAACTTGTTAACTATAGATTTTAGTTTATAGTAGAATAAAGCAGAGCAGAACGAAATCTTTATTCTAATTACTCTTTTGGTGATATACCGATTTCTAAATAAATCAATTTCAACTTTATTTCAAATCTACAAAAAAAGTAATGTGGTAAATAAATAATATTGATATTGTTTAATTTAGTTTATCCATCAACGAAATTACCAACAGCTAGAACATCAACAGCTTGTTCACAACGTTCGCATATTTGGGAACCTCAATCATGGTCATTTTCTTATCTTCATCGAGCAATTATTGCTATTGATGAACAAGCTAAAAAAGATTATTTAGCTGGTCGTACAATGAATGCACTTGCAGCCTGGCAAAATGCACTTATCTTTTGTGATCAATTAAGTCAGAGAACACAATTATGGCCTGAAAACGTATGTTCATTTATTAAATAGATAACCTAATTAGAATTACTCATAAAAGTGATATATAATCAATTTTTCAGTGAGGTAGTTTATCAGAAAAAAAATATAGTTTTGTTTTTTCATAAAAATCAGAAAGTTCTTTGTATGATCTTCAACAAATCTTAGATTAAATCAATGACAATAGATTTGTTATTTCTATAGAAAAATCTTAAGATACTTAGGACAAATATCAGATCTTTTATTTTCATTAATTGTGTATGTATGTATGTAAGCTTGTAATATTCTATTGATTTTGGTTTTTTTTTACAGAAAGCCCAACTTGATGAAGAAATAGCGGCGTTGAAACGCACATACAAAAAACATATGGAAGAAATAATGAGAAACAATCAGAATATTCATCCAAAGTGAGTTTCTACGAAATACTCGTTTGTCAAGAAGTTTTACTTTAAAAATCTTAATTTTGTTTTTCAACTATTGAATTCTTTTCTGTTATTAATAATGAATCGAACAATTCTTATTGAGAAAGTTAAAAACTTTCTAAACAGTATCTAGGAAATGTAAATAGATATCTAACTAAAATGTGATCTTTCCAGAGAGAGAAGATACTAGACATTCGAATAAAATAGTTCGATTTAAAGATATGGATATAACTGCCTCTCATTCAAATCATTTAATTTTTGTTATAAATGAAAATATTTTTTTTTTTTGTTAAACTAGTCAACAATTTTCCGTCCCGACAAGAAAATGTACAATGTGTCGAACAGAACAAACTCTCGATCAATTTCATGAACGATTAAGTAATGATTGTCACCATGTTGAACGTACAATTTGTGACAAATGTGTTTATGAAAATGGAAAATTTCAACTTGAAAATTTTCCTAATAGTGAATTAACTTGTCCAGAACCAAATTGTAGAGCAACATTTAATATAAAAGAAATTCGTCATCTTATACCAACGATTCCTAACAATGAAACAACAGAAAATTCTGATCGTCATAAACGAAGTCATAGTAAAGAAAGAAAAACTGAATTTATTTGGTGTGCTTATGAAGAATGTGGTTCAGGTCAATTTCATATTATGAGTCAACCATCATCTTCAATAGTAACATGTGTTTTATGTAAAAGACAAACATGTGCTTTACATCATATTAAATGGCATAAAGGTCTTACATGTCAAGAATATGATCAACAACAACAACAACAAGAACAAGAACGACAACAAGCTATTGAAAATGCAGAAAAACAATGTCCTAAATGTCAATATATAAATGAAAAAAATCTAAATTCTGATCGTACAATATGTTCAATATGTAAATATGAATATTGTCCGGAATGTAAAGCAGATTATAAAGAAATTCAAAAGAATGGTCTTCATCATCATAAAACAACATGTAGTCGCTATCAGGACAATTCGAAAAAGAAATCATCTAAATCAAGTGCTTGCACAATACTATAGATCATCAATAAAAAAATAAAAATTCAATTCAATTTAATTCTATTCATATTTAATAAGATAATAAATATAATTATTATGTTAACTTATATCGGCAAAATCAAAAGGTTTTAGAATGACATTATTTAAAATATTCAAAAATTTGGTTCGAATATTTTCAATTTTTTTTTCAGTTATAAATAAATCATTGAAAATAAATTCTCAAGATAAAACATTAGTTTTATCTAGAAAACATGGATTTCTACTGGTTAAATAATAAAAGTTTGTTTCAGAAAAATTAGATTATATTAATTATTTTTAAAATCACAACACATTACATTTAAGTCAATTTAATCGATCTTTATTGTTTTATTTATCTAAATAAATATCAATAAATTAAAACAAAATTTGGATGCATTGTTTAGCATAGTGAAAGATGATGAACAAAACGATCCTCTTGATATCATATACTTTCGGATGGCGTAAGAATCTTGTTGAGAAACAGCAGATAAACTATAATAGAAGTATTAAACGAAAAAGTTAAATGATTTCGATAAGTAGAGATGTGAGAAGGCGTCATCTATTAAGTGATAAATTGTTGGTCAACATAAAATAGAATTGATTTGAACAGTTTAATAATAATTGATAATTCTAATATATATATATATGAAAAATGAAATCTGAATTGTTGGTTATATGTTTTCATTTATTAGCATTTATTATATTAATGGAAGGACTTTTTCCATATTCATCATCAACAAATAATATTGCTAATCGATCTTGTTTTGATTCTCAAGGTATTTTATTTGAAAAAAAAAATAAATAAATAAATAAAAACAAAATTTAATTTAGAATCATCTAAACATCATGTTATTATTATGTTAATTGATGCTCTTCGTGCTGATTATGTATTTAATAGAAATGATTCATTTTATTTAAAATCTATTGAAAAATTTGAACAAAATGGAAAAGCTTTATCATTTAAAATGCGTAGTCATACTCCAACAGTAACATTACCTCGATTAAAAGTAATTATTTATATAGAATTATTATATAAAAAAAACAAAAACTAAACTAAAATAACCTAAGGCATTATTAACAGGTACAATACCATCATTTTGGGATATAATTTATAATTATAATTCAAGTAAACTTGAATTAGATAATATATTAATTCAATATAAAAGAAAATATCCTTTAAATAAAATAATTTTTTATGGTGATGATACTTGGATTAAATTATTTCCTAATGATATTTTTTATCGATCAAATGGTCTTCAATCATTTTTTGTTACAGATTTTAAAGAAGTTTGTTTTATTTTTTTGTTAATTTATTTATATAAAAAAACCAGTAAAATCTAAATTTTTGTTTAGATTGATTTAAATGTAACAAATAATCTTTATTCTGAATTAAATAAAATGAATGAATGGAATTTATTAATTGTTCATTATTTAGGTCTTGATCATATTGGTCATGCTCATGGAGCATTTAATTATTTAATTAAAAATAAATTAAATGAATATGATGAAATAATTAATTTAATTTATTCTAAAATGAATGATAATGATATATTAATAATAACAGGTGATCATGGAATGGCTGATAAAGGTGGACATGGAGGTTCATCATTAGTTGAAATAAATATTCCATCTGTATTTGTATCTCATAAATTTAATAATTATAAAAAAGAAAAAAAAGAATATTTTCAAATTGATTTAACAGCAACATTATCTGGTTTACTTGAAATAAGTATACCATGGAATAATCTTGGAATATTAATTGATGATGTTTTAGAAAATTATTATTCAAATAAGAAAATAAATTTATTAAAATGTTTAATTGATGATAATCGAAGACAATTATATAATCTTTTATCTGATAAATATTTATCATTATATTATTCAAATGATCTTCAATTAATTCGTGATAAAGCTATTCAAATATCAAATCAACAAGATTTAATTAAAATTTTATTAAGTATTTCAATTTTCTGCTCTGTAAGTTAAGTATTTATTTATCTATTACGAATATACATTTTATTTAAAGAAAAATAAAAACCACAAGAAGATTATTTTGTTTTTTATTTAGAGTACAATTATGTTATGGTATAATATTGAAAAAAATTCATTGTTTTCAATAATTGTATTAATAATATATTATTTAATATCTGGAAAAATGCTTATTAGTATTGGTATTGGTGTTTTTTGTTTTTCTATAATTGTTATTATAATGAATAAAAAACAAAAGATTGATTATAAAAAAAAACTTGATAATAAAATTTCAAATATATTTCTAATGTATTATCCATTATTACATTTAATATCATTATTTTCAAGTAGTTTTATTGAAGAAGAACATCAAATTTGGTATTTTTTCTTATCAACTTATTTATTATTAAAAACAATTGAAGATAAATCATTTAAAATTTTATTTATGTTAATATTATCTCGTTTGATACGTTCTTGGAATCAAACTGGAAATAAATGGTTACATTTAACAGATATTGGAGATTATCTTAATGCGTAAGATTTGATTATTTTGAAAATAGGTTTATTCTAATGACATTATTCGATTTATTTGTTTCGTTTTTTTTTAAATAGAACTGAAAATGGTACTTATTTATTAATAATTCATATAATATCATCAATTATATTTATTTATTTATTAAATAAACCTCGACAATATAAAATATCATATTTTTTACCAATAATTGTTATCATTTATCGATGGAATTTAATTGGGTTTGTTTATTTATTTATTTTTCTGAAAATATTTCTTCAACTGATGAATTAACTTTTCAATTCGAACTTGGATTATTGATTAAGAAGATAGAAAGAACAGAGTTTTATTCGGAATTCGAATTTTGAAACATTCTTTGTCTTTCTTTAATCAGAAGTTCAATAAAAATAAGCAGATAATTTCGTTACAAGTTGAATAGAATTGGAACAAACTCCAGGAGAATGACCGTCTGTTGCAGAGATGTCCATCGCGGCTGAAAATCTGCCGCTGCCGCGCCGCGGCCTTAGAAAAAAAAGCTGCCGCACCGCTGCCGCGCCGCGACGGTTTATAAAAAAATGTTGCCGCGACGCTGCCGCACCGCGATGACTTATAAAAGAAACGCCACCGCGCCGCTGCCGCGACGGTTTTCAAAAAAGTGTTTCTAATTTCACTGCTGTGACTATATTTGACCAGAGATATGGGTACTAGTCCATCAGATTTATTCAATATCAGGGCGTTTCATTTGTAAATCCTGAAATTCTATTAAATTCATACAGTTTTTCAATGTTCTCTAAAAAAACCCTGCCGCTGCCGCGATGGTTTTTTAAAAAACCTGCCGCTACCGCGCCGCTGCCGCGATGACTTTTTAAAAAATCTGCCGCTACCGCGCCGCTGCCGCGGTGATTTTTTAAAAAAACCTGCCGCTGTCGCGCCGCCACCGCCATCGCGGCAGCGGCAGCGCCGCGATGGACATCTCTGGTCTGTTGTCGATTGAGTCGGATCACATTGGATTTTTGTTTTTTGTTCTCCTCTTCGTCCGGCTATTATTTTTAGTATTCCGAAAATAAAAACACTTTTTTAAAATGGTCTCCTACCTCTAAAATCTATCGACAATTCTAGTTGAATCATGTATATCCAAATGAGTTATGAATAGTCTAAAAATATTTTATGGTTTGTAGCTTATTGATATGTAAATATTCGAACAAAATAATATTTTGTAAATTAGTTAATTAATTCAAATTATTTTTTTTGTTTATTATTTAGTTGGTTATCTTCATTAATCCCATTATTGTATTATATATTATTAATTGTATTAATTGTTGTAAATCAATTGCCGAAAGAAAAATTCTTATTTTGTTTATTATATATATTATGTCGTACACATAATTGTTTAATAATAATAGTTCATATGATTTATTATTTTAATCTAAATGAAAAAGATGCTCATCTTTTATTTTTATTTAGTCAATCATCTTTTTATCATCTAGTTTGTATTTAAATAAATAAATAAATTTGTTTAATATTATTTGTAAAATAATATATTTATTTAAAGGGAAATTCAAATTCATTTGTAACAATCGATATATCATCTGGTTTTGTTGGTATTCCAATATATATTCCAATAATTCATGGAATATTTATTTATTTATCAACATATGGTTTATCAATTGTTTGGCTATTTAAATTATCAAAATCAGAATTAATTTATTATTTAATTGAAATAACATTAATAAATAGTACATTTGCGTTATGTATTTTAATTCAACGTTATCATTTATTTGTTTGGACTGTTTTTGCTCCGAAACTATTTTATTTATGTGCTCAAACAGCTTTTAACTTATTTCTTTTGGTTCTAATAAAATAAATTTTCTTTTTTTTTTCATTTTCGTTTTCGTATCACATAACAATCACTTGAAAAGCCTTAGGTGGTCAACAATCATCTATTAAATAGGTATTCTCTATCTTACAATTTATTGAAAAATTTCCTATTCGAATTGAAAAGAAAAAGAAAAAAAATATCCATAAACATTTTTGTTTTTCATTTGAATATTTGATGTCATCTACGTTAGATACAGCATTAAGTGTTGGCAATATAATTGGTATAGTTATTGGTATAATAGCAGCTATTGCAACAGTTATTTTTTTAATTATAATGATATATTATTGTTGTAAAAATAAAAATCGAAATGATGTATGGGCAGAATCATCACCACCACCACCTTATAATTATTATAATCGATCTTATCAACAACCAATTAATACAACCTATTACAATTAATATTAATAATCAATTTATTTTATGAGAATATTTAATGAGCGAACATTTTCGATAGATAAGTAACTTTTATCAACAAAAAATCTAATCAATTATCATTTATCAAACATATTCATTCAGAATATGACTATAATATATATCCTAGGGTTTTTTTTTGAGATAATTGGTTTTATGGAATAAGAAATATTTAAATTAAATTAAGTTATCTATAAGATAATTATCTTTATTGTTGTACAGAAATTATTTTTAAGTAAAATAAAATCATATTGAAGATTTTAAAATTAAAATTTTAATATACATACTGTCTATTTCTATGAATTATTTTCTACAAAAAGGAAAATTTGAAGAGAGAAAAAAAAAAAACTTTTTTTTAAGATAATTCTATATTGTCTAGAATCTGAAAAGATAAACAACAACAAAAAAAAAGATTTTTCAAGAAAACTAACTTAATCAATAAAATGAATAAATGGTTGTCATATATTCTGAATGAAATATGATGAATAAATGAATAGATTTTATCAAAAACAAAAAAATAAAATAATATGATGTTTTAAAAATATATTCTCATTAATATAATATATATGATTAAATGAAAACGAAAAGAAATAATTAATTATATTGACAATTAATGGACGGACATAGAAAACGAAAAGAAAAGAAATAAAATGCAAAGGCACTGTTTTATAAATATCGATGATTGGCTAAGGGAATATGAAGACGTTTACCAGATATAATTGGTGGTAATAATTCCATAGTTGTTGCTGTTGTTGTTGTTCGATGAATTCCAGTTTTTGATGTTGAACGATTATTAAATGGAACTTTTCGAATATTTTGTATTGTTTGATTTGATTCATTTTGTTTTGTTAAATTTTCATTTGAAAAAATATTTTCAACTGAAGAAGAATTTGTTGTTTCTAAATTTTTTCTTAGAACAACTCTTTGTTGTTGTTGATATTGATAAGTTGACGGAGGAAGAGGAGGAGCTATAGAGATTTAGAGTTTTTTTATTAAAAGAAACAAACAAAGTCTTTTTACCTGGTTGTGTTGAAGGTCGACTAGTTGAAACCGATGATGAATCATTATCTTGATTAAAATTTTTTTGTTGAGCCATTTTTTCAAGTGAAACACTTGAAAAATTTTTTTGTGAAGATAAATCAACTGGTGTTACAGTTAAACCAAATGTTGATCGTTGATGAAATGTTAATGGTGATGTTTGATTTGTTTTTATTTGTTGAAATGGTAATGATGATGAATTTAATTCTTCAACTTGTTTTATATCTGTTCGATTTTGTTGTTTTAGTTCAACTGAAGGTACATTTATTAATGTTCGAGTTACATTTAATGTTGATGCACCACGTGTTAATAATGATGTTAAATGTTCTTTTAATAAACTTTTTAATGTATCTTGATTTAATGATGGATTTATTTGTTGTTGTTGTTGTTGTGGTTGTGGAGGAGATGGTGATTTACTTGTCATATGACGAAGTGGAAGACGAATTTCATTTGTTTGTGGTGATTCAATATAAGTAGCTTAATAAAGAAAAGATTTATTTAAATTAAAAAAAACTAATAATAATAATAATAAAAACTGACATTGTCTAAAAGTATTTGTTGGAACAGGTGGTATTGGATGTTCAATAATAAATTGTTGATTTGATAAATTATTTTCTATTAAAAGATCTTTTTCTTTTTTTAATAATTGTCGAATTCTTTCTGGAGTAAAATTATTATTTGTTATTTTAGAATTTAAATGAAGACCTTTTAATGATATTGGAGCTGAATTTGGTTTTTCATGACGAGGTAAATAAAGTCCAATATCATTATGAAAATCTAAATGACGACGAGATAAATCATTTTTTGTATTTGAATTTTCAATTGATGACCATATATCAAGACCATCAGCCCATTCAGGTCTATGAGAAAAACGTGAAAAAGATTTAAATGGACTATTTGATAATTCAATTAAATGTTTTGTTAATGATCGATCAATTGATGGACAACAATAACGAACAGATGATGAACATTCTTCAAATTCCGATAAACCCATCTTTTCTTTTATTTTGATTAATAACAAAAATAATATTTCTTTTTTTTCTTTTCTTTTCTTTTTTTTTTTTTTATTATTTTTTAAAGATCTATTGGAATTTCTATATTAACCAATAAGAATAAAGAGGTATCAACACTAACAACATGAGTTTTTTTTCATAACAACTATTTATTATTCATAAATATTTTAAATCAAATCAAATCTTATGAATAAATCTCATAGAAAATCAATGTAACAATAAAAAATCGTTACAGAAAAAAAAAGTTCAATAGAAAAAATTCCTTCATGATCGCTGATAGTAAAATAAATATTGAAAATTTTCAAAAAAATAAATCGAATAAATTTATTTATAAGTTATTTAAAAATGACATCATCAATTCATATTCTAGATGAAAACGATTAGAAATTTTTCTTTTTTAGTTTATTCATCTATTATTTACGTTTTGTATATAGAAATACATTGAATATCTCAAGTAGAAAACAACAAGAGATTTATTATTTTTTAAAATTTATTGTATATTCTATATCAGCAGTTTCAATCGATCGAAAGTTTTTTCAATAGAAAACGATGAATTGAGTCGATTGTATCCGATATTTGTGATAGGACCAAGATTAAATATAATATAAATTTTTAAAATATCGTAGGAATTTATCAAATAAATTTGTTATATATGTTAAAACGGATTTTTGAAGATCTCAAATATTGATTGAGAATATATTAAAAAATAAATAAGAACTTTGTTTTTATTAGTTATAAAGAATGAAACTCATTGAAAGTTTCTTTTTTGGTCGATATTCTCTTTGTCATAATCAATTAGGAAATTTATTGAGTAGATTTTCTAAGATTTTAATCAAAAAAACAAATCGAAGAAAATCAACTTGACAAAAACTTATTAATTAGAATGATATTTTAAAATTCTTTTCTTGAATTTATTTGTTGATCGAAATAAAAATATAATAATAAGTCGTAGCTTAACAAAAAGAGAGAAAAATAATCATGTAATTCTGATCGGATAGTTAGGAGAAATACTTTTAAGTCAACTATATTTCAAATATTTAGCTAGTCTATCGACACACATCAGTTAATAAAAACTATTGATAACATATTTACATATGGACGACGAATAAAAAAAATATTTTCAAGTTTTTTGTTTTTCGAATTCAATTTCTTCAATATATTTTCTTTTCGATTTATTTAAGATAATGTTTATATTATTCTATTGAAAAAAAAAACTCTTTTCAATGAATTTCTTATAATGTTTGTTTTTTTTTATTCTCATCTATGAATGGTAAAATATGCTTGTCGATTTCGGCTGTTCAATAACTATAATCCGAAGTAAAAAAAAAAAATGAATCGAATTTAATATTAACAAACATTCGAGTCTTTTTTTTCGCATTGAATTCATTTGTCGTTTAAAATAAAAAATTTGTTCATTTTTATTTTGAAATATTTATTTTAAAACAATTTGTTTGTTTTTCTGAATATTAAATAAAATCAATTTCGATGAAAAAATTTTTATTATATATTCAAACAATATTATCATTTAACAATATGAAATTCTTTTAAACGTTATTATTTTAAAAGAGTATAAATGATTAATATGCAAATCATATATGAACAACAAAAAAAAGTTCTTTTTATTCTACTATTGACTATTATTATGTTTATCGGTAATATAATATAATATATATATATGTCATTAATCGATCAAAAACAAAAGGCTCGTTTTTTTTTTCAGTAGAAAAAAACAGAACAAATATTCACAAGTGAAACGTTTAAAAATAAGCAGTGAAAAAAGATGATTATGAACGTTGATTGTAATGAATTTGTTCATAGTGATTTGAATAGTTTGAATCATATTGTGATGGTGATTTACTATCGAGTTTCGATGCACAATCATCCCTGCTTATTGCAACAGTACAAGTTGATGGTTATTCAATTAATTTAATTGTTGCTTTTATTTTAATTATTTGATTTTTTTAAAATATTTTCATCTCAAAAGAACCATGTGATTAAAATACCAATGAAAACGATTTCAAGAATTCCATAAATCGAACCAACAATAAGACCAACTAAATCTGGAGTTGATCGACAATCATCTCCATGACAAGATTCTAGAAAACAAAAAATATTTTTTCTAGATTTTGAAAACCAGTGTCAATATAGTTATCAAGGTGTATGTGGTTCTGCTTATTGGTCTTCTATTCATCCATACCCATATCTTCAAATACATTCAAAATACGAAAAAAGCAATAAAAATGGAGCTGAAACTGATGACACACTCTTAGTACTTGGAAATATTGATCAAAATAAATGTTCCTTGTATTAAATATGTAATATGAGAAGTTCAGTCTATCTTGTCGACAACCATTTTTAAACACATAACTTTTTGTCGTATAAAATTCTACGGAATAATCAAAAATGGATATCTAAATCAAGAAATGAGGAATTAGTTTTTGATACAGGTACTATTTGCCATAGTTTATGATTTGTTTCCGCCACTAAATCTACAAATTTCAAGACTTCTGATCAGAAAATGTTTGAGAATGAAATCTGTGTACTTTGTAGCTGATAATGAAATTTGTTATATGACTACTATACACCTTCGTATTTGAAATATCGAAAAGATCAGATTAATGATGAGATTTTTATTGAATAAAAGGATAAAAGTCGATCGAAACAATAATCATTTATTGTTAGCAGCTTTTATCTCTTTTTAGACATTGTGTGTGCTCAATCTGTTTAGACTTATTATTATCTATTGGCCTACTTTAATCATAAAAGGTATCAAATAATATAAACGAAGATAGATTTTCAATAATGTTTTAGATAGTTTTTCTTGATTGAGAAAGCCAAAATTTTTAAAGAAATGTATATTTTAAAAAAAGGACGGGGGGAGGGGCATAAGAAGCGAAATCGACCCATTAGGACTTTTCTGGATCAACCCTATTCAATCATATATCATTCGAAAGAATATGTGAAACTTAACATTTTGACACTATTTCCATCGAATTTTGATCAATCGGACCATGCCATGGTCAACTCAGTTTTAATGGAAGTTGATAAGGAAAAATAGTTGTGAAATTAAGTATCCGATAGCTTCTTGGTAGGGCTTTAGCCCTATATAAGAATTAATAATTCCTTGTTTGATTCAGTGAGAAACAACATCTGACATATTATTAGACACTGTTGACATTCTGGTCTATATTTATTACTGACTTTTATTTTTCAACAAATATTTTGTCCTATGAATTAAAAAAGGCCAAAATCTGGTATAGCTCATTTGATAGCCCTGTTTAAAAGCTACAAAATCGTATATTTTCTATACTCTAAAAACACATGGTCACTAGGAAAGGGTGTGGGTGTGGGTGGGTGTGGGTATGGGTATGGGTGTGTGGGTATGGGTGGATGGAGGTGGGTGTGGGTGTGTTATTCATTTGATATTGATACCCACACCCACACCCACACCCCCACCCACACACCCATACCCACACCCACACCCCACATCCACACCCACCCACACCCAATGACGACCATGAGGAAGAAACGCTGGTAGCTACAAGGTCGAGCTGGATCTAAATGAAGAATGAAGGAAGGAAAAGCACGGCTGTAGTCGTGAAATGGAAAGGTACGAATGATCATTTCCAATCTCTTTTACGTGACTGCTTGGTTTTATACATTCTTTGACAATAATAGACGGTAAAAATCAAAAAACATCAGTTATCATGCGCGTGAAGTATATTCCATATTCAATGTGCGAGACTCGTCGACGAGCGCTTCGTTGTTGCTCTTTGGTGATTCTACTACAGAGGGCATAGTTAGTGAACGTGCATTTTGTTTCATATTTCGACCCATGATCGAGTTGTATAGATTGTCACACATCACCTTGCATATATTTTGGTTCAAACGGGTCGAATCGTGCTTCGCCTTAAACAATAACTCGAAAAATGCAATAAGCATAGCAAGCCCGAGTCCAATGATCAACATATAAAAGACACCAGCCATTTGAGCTAGATTGAGTTGCACCTTCGTTTTTCTGTCTTCCGTGCTTGTCTTTGTACATTCTATTCGCTCATAGAACCACTTCTGTTTGAGTCGTCTGAGAAAGCCGGTTTCACTAAGTTCAAGTACAGCCATGTTAATTGCTTTACGCAAATCAGACTTGAGAGGTGTAGCAATGTCGTAGCTTATAGAATTAATGTTTTCATTGACGAGTATTGTGTCACATGGAAAACGTTCATTAGAGTATTCGCTAAATGTAGATTCCGCAAGAAAGGCAAACTTCCCTAGAAAATGTAAGAGCAAAGGCGTGATAAACAATTTTAATGCCAGCGATTTTACCTCTCGACTCTCGCACTTTTTGAATTCCGGCTTGGTACGATGATACGAAAACGTCGCCTTTGTGCTTTTGCATGAAATCCCACATATTTCGGATTGTGTCAATTTTTGACTTATTGAAGAAGGCCATAGTTGAACTACCTTTCAATACGCCGTATCGAATTACAGTTTGTTTAGACAGATCTTCAATCGTGTCTATTGGTGGTGCCATCTTTCCCGAAAAAGGATAAAATGCGATCAAGGTGGCAATGTACGTTGAGAAGAGAATGAGACAAAATAACCACCAGGCACTGGTAGCAACTCGACCTACGAAATAGCACAGACTATATTAAATAGACATCGTTTAGCGTATGTCCGCTAAATGCTTTAGGAAAAAAAGGTCCTGTTGATGACTGATGTGTCCATTTTAATGGTGAAATGAATGTTATCAGAATTTTCAACTTTCGAATGGATATAATTAATAAATAATAGCTATGAATGATGATAGATATTTGAGAAAAAGTCTCAAAAATATAACTTCTTCTTTTAGAAAATGTAGGAGTTAAAAGTCCATTTACATTTAAATGAGTAAGAGAACTGTCTTATTGAGGGATCTTTTCAATTAACTAGTTAGCTGACTGTCATCATAATGGTTAACTCCTATGAAATTAGCGTTTTCAAA